TTTCCAACACTGGGAACCTGTCACAACTTTATCCAGACAGGTTGAGATTTAAGCACATCAGCTGGCCTGCAGTGACTGAAGAGCAAAGCATCGCTCAGCTAAAAGGACATACCCACTCCCCTGTGAGTGTTGAGAATCCGACCTGCCCTGCGTCCTTGAGCAAGACGCTGAATCCCTAACATCCCGAGGGCACTGTTCTGAGGCGGAGGCTGCAGTCTAAGGGCTGGAGATTAAACGGTGCGATTTCACAAGAGGCGATCAATAAAGTATAACTAAAAGCTGAGCCCAGAGGTGGGTAGAGATGTGTCACATTTATCCTGTTTTCTTCACTAACTCCGTGACTAAGCAATTCTTTTGAAGTTTTGTCACGTTTTATGATCTATAAGCCTACAGATTCTTTTTAGATGTTAGTCTATGCCTATCAGGGCTACAAGGAAAAACAACATAAAATACAACTAGTACTCAGAAAAGAAAAAAAGTGTTAACGCATCACATCAAAGCTAAAAAAAAAACATTGCCAACTGTTTTTAACCCATTAAAACATAATTGTGAGTTTGTGAAGGTAGTTAACTGGCAAAGTCAACAAATCCTTTAAATATTGCACTGTGCAGTAGAGATACAGGAGTCAGTAATTGAATAATATAATAATAAAACTACTTAACAGTACTTTTTTTACCATATTGAAACGTGTTGTGTGAGTGTTCGGACTTGCCTCTCCACAGATGCAGTTCCATATCTAGACATGGGCCTTACTTTATACTGTAGTGTAGTCCATTACTTGCTTGTCTAAGGAGGGATAGATGTGTAAGATTCCACACTGTGAAACATTTTAGGCATTGTGTTTAGGCTCTTGAGGGTGTTTGAAATCATTCAGCTCAACCCTCCGAACTCATAAAATACCATATGAAGTTATCGGCTCTGGTCTGTCCATGTGGCATAGTTTTATCAGCGCTGTCCTCTCTCTCTTCTTTCCTCCTATTCCTATTATGGACATTGCAACAGGACATCCAAAGGTTTGATTCACCGTCTGTCACTATGTCTGTGTATGTGTGTGTGTGCGTCTTGTGTGTGTGTGTGTGAGATAGCAGATAAGAGCCATCCATAAACAGCACTTGAAAGCCCAAATGTAAATGTTTGGAAGTGGCTGCAGAACACAAGTCTATATCAAGATACCAGACGGAGCAGCGGAGGGGAGGAGATTCAAGTCGGGTTCACACCAGGAGAACTACCAGGAGAGTCCAGGCAGAATCAAGCCATCAATAACAGCTTAGACGAGTTTGGCTTTTCAAAGAGAAATCCTTCAATGCCTCCAAACTTGCAAAGTTTAGGGCAAAAACATCGGAATCCGTAGTCACCTGCCAATAACAGATCAGAGTAAGCATAGGTCCAATGTTTTGGGCGGCACGGTGGCTTCTCAGCAAGAAGGTCCTGGGTTCGAATCCCGGTCGGAACAGGGCCTTTCTGAGTGGGGTTTGCATGTTCTCCCCGTGTCTGCATAGGTTTCCTCCGGGTGCTCCTGTGTCCCCTACCACTAAAAACATGCACAATAGGTCTGAATGTAAATGAGAGAGTGAGTGGATGGTGTTGGAGCTGATGGTCCAGTGTGTTCCAGTGTGTGTGGAATGATTGGAACAATATCTGACTCTGAACATTGTAAAGCGCTTTGGGAGACCTTAGTCTGTAAAATGCGCTATATAAATAAACATTACTTACTTACTTACTATTTGTTTATAAAAAAACAGAACTATTTTTTAATTACACAATGGAGTGATGGATGGATTCGTCAACTTATAGCTCTAAATGAATTAATCACAATGTCACAACCACATAAAGAATAATGACCCTAAGCTTCTTATAGTTGTGGGGATTTCATAAAGCATTATAAAACTTGTCCAGACATGAGGCCCAATATGATTTTTGTCGTGTGTGATGTGGACTGTGAAGAGGTTTGTGTTGCCCTTTGTAGGAAAAGTGTTCGGCAAATACATATAGATTGATTGATATACTTTGGATCAGAGCGGCTACACCACCTCTGCTGCTGTGACCCGTCCTGCTCCACCCAGAGGCTACACCACCTCTGCTGCTGTGACCCGTCCTGCTCCACCCAGAGGCTACACCACCTCTGCTGCTGTGACCTGTCCTGCTCCACCCAGAGGCTACACCACCTCTGCTGCTGTGACCTGTCCTGCTCCACCCAGAGACTACTCCACCTCTGCTGCTGTGACCTGTCCTGCTCCACCCAGAGACTACTCCACCTCTGCTGCTGTGACCCGTCCTGCTCCACCCAGCAGCTACTCCACATCTGGACTTTTAATACTAGTTAGCTACTTTTAGAATGATGTATTTATTTGTTTTGTTTGTATGGATGGATGTGTTTCTGCTGCTACCGGACACCTGAATTTTTCCAATCAGTAAATCAAAAAAGGGGATCAATAAAGTGTCTGTCTATCTATCTATTCATACAAGAGTCTGTGCGGTTGCTTCTGCAGTTCTACCAGTGCAGGATTGGGGAATGAATCTGAGAACATGCATTTGAGTTTGAGATAATTAGGAAAGAAATGTGTTTTACTGCCATGCGAGTACTGCACCTGTTCTACTAATCCAAAATTATTTCCTAACAGATAACAAATAGGCAATCAGTAAACTGCCTTCATATCACTGCAATTTCTCTCCTATATCTTGTTGTTCTTTATTTTTTCCTCAATAAAACTCAATTGCTAGACTTTGAATTGACCTCACATGTCATATATCTGTGCCATAATGTGTATATTTGTACCTACAGAGCTAGTGACCTATTACTTCAATATTCTTGCACTAGACTGTACTACAGATATATCTACAGTGTGCATGCATACTATATATGTATTTTAAGTACATTCATTTGCACCAGACGAAGGTTTTATACTTCATTCTTTATAAATATAAAGATCAGATAGATAAAGATTAGATTAAATAGTGTGCTCCTCATTCCTACTGTTATGTAACCTGTGATGCAACATTGAAATTTCTCCACTGTGGAACAATCAAACCTTTCAACATTAATAGCCTATGTGTGTGTATGTATACTTGCATGTATTCAAGGTCTGAGACTTTTAACCCAAAATCCATGGGTCAAATAACTATAATTTAGTGTTTGATATTCATGCCTTTGTCTATATTAAATCATATGCTGTTAATTATCTGTTATTAATACCTTCTTACCACTTTCTGTTTCAGAAATGACTCGTAATAATCCACATTAGTTGTCAGACCTTCCCTCTTGTTTTCCATTTGTGTTTGCTTTTTCACTTGTCGTTTATTTTGTCTAATTGGACAAACCTTGAGGCTGCGCTATAACGACTTTGGAGGTTAACAAGCTTCTGCTAACAATCTCTGTTCACAGCCAAATGCAGACGTAACTCTGCCTTCTTGTATAGACTGCAGGAGTATTTCCCATATTTACAAGAACTTCTGAAATCTGAAAAGTTGACATTATCGCCCGAGACCTGTCACATTTGATTCATGAAGCCTGTTTACTGCATCACAGCCTAATATTACGTCTAAAAATAATTACCAACAAACAATAATCCTAATAATAACAGAAACCCTTTGTATTATTAAAGTGAAACGCTGCGGAAGTTCCCTTTGTTACATGTAGTGAGTCAAATTATTATTATTTATTTGACTCACTACATCGTATTTGAAGCCCTGTGAGTTTCTATTTGACTCTTGGAGCTCAAAGCTGATTGGCTGAGTGAGGGTGCTCCTCCCTCTATGTCTAAGTCTGAAAAGGCTGATCTAAAAATGTTACAGATGTGACTGTTTGGAGAGCAAGGAATTAGCTGGATGGATTTTAAATATACGTTTGTTTTGTGGTGTGAAAATTCGGTTCCCCAACTTTAACCCTTTAATATTCACTCCTTGAAGAAAGCAATGTATCTTATTGGGGTATTTTCTAAGATGTAGGAGCACTAATATCAGAAATATGTATGTTTTAACCCGTTTTTGTTTTTGTTTTTACAATTATAGGCCGTTACAAAATAGTTGAGATGCAGTTTGAAGGTAAAAGTGTCTAAAACCATGTGAGATGCACCAATGAGGTAGATTTTAGTTTCAGTTCCAAGCATGTTTAAGGCAGATATAGTGACTCAAAAGGTGATCTAACAAATGGTCGAGGAAACCATTACAGGGTAAAAACCATAAGCAATGATGAGTAATAAAAAAATGTGTATACAAACTTCCAAGACACGATTTAATCACGCTTTGACATAAAAATACTCTGACTATAATACAGTCATTGTTTTATAGGGATCTAAATTTTATCTCATAATAAACATTTGTAATCTCACTTTTCACTATCATATCTCAATCTGTTTCCGCCATTTTGGCAAAGCACATTGTGAGTTTGTGAATGTAGTTAACTGGCAAAGTCAACAAATCCTCTGTTCTGGTTCTGTCTTCCAGGACCAGCTGCATTAACAGAAAAAAGATAATGATATTGCACTGGCCAAAGTAGTTTCTTTTTTTAGGATCTTTTGTTTTCATAGCTGGCCACTGTACATCCACAGACTGAGATTCTGTCGCTCACTCGCACATGCAAATTCCCGTACACACTCAGACCCTGAAGGGGCCCTTTTCCACATCAGGCCATATGGTGCAGACGGGCGCACGGAAACAATTCTCCAAAAACAACACTCGCTTAGTAACCTGCTTCGCGCACACACACACACACACACACACACACACACATCTGAAGCAGTGGAATGAATCGCTGCCTTGTTCGGTGGAGTCTTAATGGCAAAGGAACCTGCCGTAGAGATTACCACATGCACTCTCTCCCATACGTCCAGCAGTCGTTCTAACAGGTTACTTATTTTTTCTAAGTCAAAAGCGGTTTTTCAATGTAATATTCCAACAGAGGCTGCCATAAATCTCAGCATTTAAGCAGCTGGGTCTAGAAAGAGTCGCCGGCGCGGACAAATATAATGGTGTATTAGAATCATTGCCGTTAAAGGGGACGTATGGTGACATGCTAAAGGGACTTTTAAGAGTGTTATATAGTTGTTGGTATTTGTCATTTATGTCTTAGTGTGGATTTTATTGTTGTAATTGGTTTTACTTTACTTTACTTTGGTTTTCTGTGGTTTTGTTTTAGTTTGACTTCCTGTTCCCCTGTATTGATTGTCAGCCCCTAATGTGTTCCATGTGTTTCTGTGTCTATTTGTACCTGTGCTCCTCTCCACTTGTCGCTGGTTCACTGCCTTTTTCTGTCTTTGTTCCTGATTTCTGTGTTTTGTTTGGGTTTTTTGGAGTTTGTTTTTCACCCAAACTTTTATTTTACCATTATTATTTAACCATTAATTCTGGCATTCCTAGATTTTGAGTTGTCATTCATCTCACCACGGGACAATTGACAAAGTTGTTTTAAGAGCAATTCATACACGTTTGAGTAATTCATATTATCATCTTTGTTCCCCCATTACGGCCAAAACGTCCTATAAATTTACATTACTATTTCCATGTACTATTTTTCACATTATTTGAAGATTTTCCGTTCTGAATCTGTGAGATGTGGATAATTTAGCCTGCTTTGGTACACGCAAAAAATTGGTCTATTGTCGAAAAAAAATATAGCCAATATATAAGTCAAAGAAAATTGGTCTCAATTGAAAAAAAGAAGTGGAAAAAAAGAGTTTTCGAAAGAATTGTCATCTACTGCAGGAAGTGATGTCAATCCAACATTTTCAAGCACGATTCAACACTAGGGAATACTTAAATTCTCAATATTGATTTCAGTCCCACTGTAATTACTCAAATGTGCTCTGACACTGAAAGGATGTAGATTCAAATCATTATGAAACTTCTCTGGAAAGGTCTGTCTTTGTCTTGTTTCGCTTTTGGAAACAAATGAGTGTATAGTTTCAATTCTATTACAACCATTAGCATCTGGTTAGCTGTGCTCTCTGTGCCTCTGCAGGTGACAGAGGGTAGAAAATGCCATTCATTAGTTTAATTATTTCTGTATTTAAAATAAAATGTAAAACCAATATATATAGGTAATCTATTGCCTGTACAGGAGGCGCATGCCAGACCTATTGTGCATGTTTTTAGTGGTAGGGGAAACCGGAGCACCCGGAGGAAACCTACGCAGACACGGGGAGAACATGCAAACTTCACTCAGAAAGGCCCTGGTCCGGCCAGGATTCAAACCCAGGACCTTCTTACTGAGAGGCGAGAGTGCTATCCACTCAGCCACCGTGCCGCCCTAAGTCTTTGCTATTTGTATTTTAACTTGTATTTTAACTGTTTTTGTACTTTTTATATGTATGTAAGGCAACCTTTAGTGTTTTAAAAAAGGCACCTAAGAAATAAAATGTATTATTATTATTATTATTATTGTTGTTGTTGTATCATTACTATTATCATTATTATTATTTTAAGGATTGTGGCTCAGTTCATTTTGAAAATATTCAAATTTTCTGAAATGTTTAAAGATGTGAGTCATAAGTCAACATTATGACATTGTTTAGTTAGTTTCACATTGTAAGTTGAATTACAGAAGTGAATGGACTTTTGAACAATATTCTAATCCTCTGAGTTTCACCTGTTTATACTTCAGATTTTTATACTGCACAACTCAGTCCTGACCCAAAATGAGTCAAATATGTTAATTCCGAGGTATAATAATGACATTTCGGTCGTGAAACCTGTATGTTTTGCAGGACATCCCCAAACAAAACAACCCGCTGCTGTGATCTTCCTCCTGGATGTAGCCGTTAAAAGTTTACATATTTTCTTTAGTCGACTCGAGCTGTGACACATATTGCCAGTGCCTTTTCCCTCGCAGCCGGTGTTCACAAAGACGACCGCGGTGGTGCCTCCCTGTGCGCTCACTTTGGCAGATGACGGAAACAAAGCCAGCAGCAGCAGAAGCAGAAGCGCAGTGCAGCGTGGACCCGGCACGCAGCACCTGGAGCTAAAGGAGCAGCGTTCGGAACTATCGGGGCCCCACAGCTCTGCGCCCGTGCCTCTGCCTCAGTGCTGTTTGCGTGTGGCCTGTTTTTTTTTGTGTGTGTGTGTCTGCGTTCCTGGCAGCTCTACACTCTGGTGCTGGCTGCAGGAGTTGGCTGTTTAGAGGCAGCAGCGGCGGAGTTCTCCACAGTCCCGTCCTCGGCACGTTTGCGCTTTTATCTCTGGGTCGTGTGCCGCAGGCCTGGCACTGCCCTCTCAGCGGCGGCCAGGAACTCTGAACACGGCTCTGAGAAAGCTGCAGATTCCCGCAAACTGTGAAGGAATTTTCCATTTAGGTGGGGTGAGAGGAACAAAAGAATATTTCTAGTTGCTCCAGATAACAACAAATGTGATTGTAAAGAGTCATGTAGGACTCCATGCAAAGACGGCCATTATTATAAAGTTATATGCAAACAAAAAGGCACTACAGATAAGAAAAACTCCCTTGAATTAGATAAAAAATGTCTCTTGATTTTGAGGATTAGTCAATGGAAGTATGTACGTACATAAACTGTCAAAAGGTTGCAAAGTACAGGTCTGAATCTTAAAATGTTTTCAGAAAAAAGCTTGCACTGAATATTTTATTTTGACTATAGATAAAATCAGGTTAGAGCTTTATGAAAAATATCTTAAATGTTTAGAAATTGTGTATGGTAATCGCTTCATATGTACGCTTTTTTTCAATGTTGGTCAGAGTAATTATATATATTTTTCTGAAACCGGGCCGCCCAACTGTACTTGCTTTACCGACAGAACCATAGTATGGGAAATTACTCCACTACTAAGAAAAGGGCTAACACTGTAACCTTTTCTTGTCGATATAAATACTTCCCGGTGCCTTACTTGTCTGGTGCCAGATTCAAAGTTATGTGATAAGAAATGGCTGACTGGCTGAGTGTTCCTTTAGCCCAACAGGACCCTCATTCAGGCTGACTTGGCTCGGCCTCTGTACCTCAGACAGTCTGGGAGAGTGATTTTCCTCGCAGACACAGCTGTATGGTTCCCCGGCATATGGATTAAATAAATACAGTCTGTGCTCAGCTTGTTAACACTTGTTCTGTTGGCTACAGCTCCACGCTGCAGCCGACTGAATGAAAACACACCCAGGGCCCTCCACCCCCGCCACAATAATACACCGCTATGTGTATGAGTCGATGAACCCTCCACCTCCGCCACAATAATACACCGCTATGTGTATGAGTCGATGAACCCTCCACCCCCGCCACAATAAAACACCGCTATGTGTACGAGCCGATGAACCCTCCACCTCCGCCACAATAAAACACCGCTATGTGTACGAGCCGATGAACCCTCCACCCCCGCCACAATAATACACCGCTATGTGTACGAGTCGATGAACCCTCCACCCCCGCCACAATAATACACCGCTATGTGTACGAGTCAATGAACCCTCCACCCCGCCACAATAATACACCGCTATGTGTACGAGCCGATGAACCCTCCACCCCCGCCACAATAAAACACCGCTATGTGTACGAGTCGATGAACCCTCCACCCCCGGCACAATAATACACCGCTATGTGTACGAGCCGATGAACCCTCCACCCCCGCCACAATAATACACCGCTATGTGTACGAGTCGATGAACCCTCCACCCCCGCCACAATAATACACCGCTATGTGTACGAGTCAATGAACCCTCCACCCCCGCCACAATAAAACACCGCTATGTGTACGAGCCGATGAACCCTCCCTCTCCGCCACAATAATATACCGCTTGTGTACGAGTCAATGAACCCTCCACCCCCGCCACAATAAAACACCGCTATGTGTACGAGTCGATGAACCCTCCATCCCCGCCACAATAATACACCGCTATGTGTACGAGCCGATGAACCCTCCACCCCCGCCACAATAAAACACCGCTATGTGTACGAGTTGATGAACCCTCCACCCCCGCCACAATAATACACCGCTATGTGTACGAGTCGATGAACCCTCCACCCCCGCCACAATAAAACACCGCTATGTGTACGAGTCGATGAACCGAGACGCCGGACAGGTCACGCAACTTATGTTCCAAAAGCCTGTTGTACTTTTTACATGCATTTATTTGTATTTTTTTCTGTTTGCTTTTATATTTTATCTGTCGTGCCTGAAGCGCTTTGGGCAGCTGGTGTTGTTGTAAATGTGCGATACAAATAAAGCTGACATTGGCATTGACATATTTTAAGATGCATTGTATTTCTGTGGCTGGAGAACATTTCTGGAATTAGTTGGGTGAAGATTTGCAAGGCTTTAGAACTGCACACTTTGAAATATTATTCAAAAACTTAATAATTGTGAATCCTGATAGCAGAAAGATATCATTATTGTGGAGTTAATGTCTTATTTTTATATGTGTGCAGCAGCTAAATATGTCATGGGGGCATTTTTTGCGCTCCTCCTTCCTCCTGTATCTCTCCTCCCCTCATTGCAGGTCTGTCTCCCATCTGGCCTATAGGGGAGAATATTTCAACTCTGGAAACCCATTCAGCCAATGCCAGTTCAATCAATCAATCATTTATTCGTATTGCACAAACAACTTAAGGCAATTCAAAGTGCTTCACAATAGCAATTTAAAAACACAGACCAAAATGCATTAAGTCAATGAAATATATAATTATCTCATCCGTCCCTTGACTGTGGCATAACCAGAGATTCTGAAGACCATTTTTCTTGAACTGGTTTTATCCCGTTTTTATATTTGCTCAGGTAGAAGAACAGTTTTCCCATTGTTTTTTTTTTTTTCGCAGAGCTACTTTGAAATGTCTTACAATAATTTCTTGTTCATTAAAATAACTATTTATGGATCATTTAATTCAAATCATATCAAATTCAGTTTTACATTTCCTACTAAAGCGTTATACTCTGCCTATTCCTTTTCAGACTTTATTTTGTATCTTGTTGAAAAGTGCCTGGAATTGTCTGAAACGTCTGAAAAAAATAAATGAAATAAAATCAATTGAATCTGAACTCACGGTTTTCTATGCAATCTACTGAGGAACGCACACACAAAAAACAAAAAGGGCCACAAGAGATTAAACACAAAACAATGTATGTAATGATAATATTGATAACATATCTGCCATAGCCTTCTATATAAAGAGCATTGTACTATCTCTGTTTGAATATTCCCTGGACCAATTGAATTTGTGTCTGGAAGAGATAAATGAATCAATAGAAAATATATCTGTACAGTAACACACAGCTGTAACAGTGGTGAAATACAGTAACAGGCTCCAATCTGCTCACACGATGTGGTTTCAATCTAATCTGATTAAAGATTTACTTCCTCCGCTCAGCTGTAAACACAGAACAAGAGGATGCAGAATAGACTCACACTTTTGCTTATTTTTCAAACCACTAAAATTATCTCATCTTTACCATAGTTGGGGAATAAACTATTACACTACAAGTCGACTGGGGCGACAGTAGCTCAGTTGGTAGAGCATTGGCCTTTGGGCCTGAAGGTTGTGGGTTCAAGCCCACCATAAGACCTACTTCACGACTCCCACTGATGACTGCTGTCGTTGTGTCCTTGGGCAAGACACTTAACCCCACTTTGCCTGAAGCTCCCACTGAAAGATCTCAGCTCCTGTGGACTCACTACCTGCAGGAGGATAAGTGAGGGGCTGGTGCTCTGTGACTGGGTGTAGCTCTGACTGCCACCCCCCCCGACCCAGAAATGGATTAAGGGGAAGAAAATGGATGGATGGATGGACTACAAGTCGATCAAAAAGTATGATATCACCCAACTAACTATTAGAACAGGACGTATTTCTGAATTCCACATACTGTACATACTATTACTACTGTACGGAGTGGATAGCACTCTCGCCTCTCAGCAAGAAGGTCCTGGGTTCGAATCCCAGTCGGACCAGGGCCTTTCTGAGTGGAGTTTGCATGTTCTCCCCGTGTCTGCGTAAGTTTCCTCCGGGTGCTCCGGTTTCCCCTACCACTAAAAATATGTACAATAGGTCTGGCATGTGCCTCCTGTACTGGCGACCCCGCTCCCAAAAAATAACAATTGTAAATCGCTTTGAGACTCCGATGTGCAGTGAAAAGGCGGTATATAAATAAAGATTACTACTACTACGCCACATTCAATCTGAAAACCACAATTAAGCATTTCGAGAGAGATTACAGTTTGTGACAGGTTTTGCCAATTCTTTGTCTTAGTGGCCTGATGCATGAGCAGTATGTACGTGCAGGCAGTTAAACATGGCAGATTGATCAGTGTGTTTCAGGGCAGTCTATACGTCTGCTCCTACATGTTATGGAATACACTAATAACTGCTATTTTTGTGATTATCAAAATTAAAGGGGCCATATGTATTAAAGACAACTAGTGGTCTAATGAAGTAATTACAATTCTCCCTGCCTCTGACAAATTTATTTATTTATTAGTTTATTTGAATTAGGTGCAGTACACATTAATCAACACTTCAGTAAATGTGTCAGTATTAGCTAGCAGCTAGTTCCCAACTTTAGTCCCCACAGTGTAAAATGCCATCGAAAGCTAATGGGGATCCAAATAAATAAATAAAGAGATTACAGGATTTATTTATTGAAGTAATTTTAATACTTCCATATTAAGGATTTGATTTTTGAAAAGAAAGTTAGGATATTTACATACAGAAAATGTCAGATGATAAAGGACCAAAAAGCCCCTGTGCTGAAATGTATAGTCTGTAAGGTAAACCTGTCAAAAGAGGTCTATATAAGTGTTTGTGTGTGCGTGTGTGTGTGTGTGTGTGTGTGTGTGTGTGTGTGTGTGTGTGCGTGTGTGTGTGTGTGTGGAGGTGTCATGCAATGAAAAGATGAGCTCATCACACAAACAAAGAAGCAGACGCTGATCCGTTTCCTGCAAATAGGCCAAACAGGTAACAAGCACACGGCCAGAGCATCACATAGCATGTAATGACGTCTTCAATTCCCAGTCTAAATCCCAAATCCTCTCGAAGAAAGCACAGAATATATATTAAATGTGGTTCCAACTTCTTTCACAAATGTCTGAATAGTACACCTTTGACTTTACTCTGCATGTGTCGCTTCTATCTGTGTGATTTTTTGCACAATAGCACTGCCTCTCAGGATGTTCATACCCACATCACGGCCATTGCTTATGTGTGAGTATTTTTAAACGTGTAAGAACAGACAGTAGATTCCCAGTGGCTCGCGTGACACTTGTTTTGTCATGTTGTTGTCATGTTTACTCCGGGAGACGTGCTGTTGCGTGTGGGAGGGATGTGTCTCCTGCAGAAGGCATTACGTTT